AACCACGATGCGATTCAGCCCTTATACGCGATACGGTTCAGCCCTTAACCGCGATACGATCCAGCCCTTACTCATGACATGATTCAGCCCTTACTCATATGATTCAGCCCTTAACCTCGATTTGATTCAGCCCTTAACCATGATACAATTCAACCCCTAATCACAGTTCTAGTCAGCCCTTAATCATGACACAATTTAGCCCATAATCGCATTAAGATTTAGATCGTAATCATGAAATAATTCAGCCTTTAATCACAATATGATTTAACCCTTATATGAAAAACGATTGAAGGCTTACAATACCCTTTAGCTTTTAATCACAATAAGATTTGCAATATGATTCAGCCGGTAGTCACGATACAACCCAGCCCCAATCACTATATGGTTTAGCTCTTGACCACTACTCCACTCACCCTCTAATCCCAAACACAATTTAGGTCTAAACAATCACAAGATTTAGTCTTAAATCACAAAGGAGTTCAGCCCCTAATCATGTTGTTCATCATAATACAATTCAATATTTAAAATAAAAATTTTCTTTGATGTGTAAATATGCAACTACTCATCTGTTAGCAACATCCTAAATAAATTACAACCAACTTATAAGTGAATAGAGCCTCAGTTCAATTAATGACAGATAAAAAGCAAAAACTGACCAGCACTATTAAGTTGTAGGTACATTTATGCAGTCCAATAATGTGAAACTATTTTTTTTATATATTTAATTTGGCTGCGTACACTGAACAACTGAGCATATATCTTAATTCTGCTTGCATTTGATATCTACTAGCTGTCATGTGAACTTATCACGCTGTCTGTATTTGATGGGACGTGAGGAAGAGTGAATCCCACCACTTTCAATCAATAGCCTCATTCCAAACATAAAAGTCGATGATGATAATGAGGGTCTTACAAAATTTATGAAGAGGAAATTACTGCCGCAGTTAGACGATGATCTAAGCGCTCATCAGTCGAATAGTGAATCTTCAATTTCAAACAGCAGCAGATGTTTGTTTTTCTTTCTGACACATAAAACTGTGTGATTTTCAATGCAAGTGTGCTTTTAATACACGAAGGATGCACTATACACCAGTTATGGAAATGACGTCGCGCACACTGGGATGTTGTGATGTTTCACACATTTTCCCCGGACCTGATTAACTGCGTTTGCTGATGATGAGCTAATTATTTACGAGAATTAATGTGCAGTTGCATTAGAGCAGTGTAGTGTGGGTGCCCCTCTTTCTTCGTGACTTTGTGAGGGATAGGCAACCGATAACACCAAGTTGTTACCAGTTAGAGAAAACAATGAAAACCACTGTTGCACAACATTCCTCTGACCGCTGAGCATCAGTCACAAGTGTCCAAAAATAAATGAATAAAATTAACATTTTTCTTCCAAGAACGTGATGCAAATGCGCATTAATGTTGCGATAGATGTGCATTTAGGACTCAATTCACCGGGAGTTTGACCAACATTTGCGTGACGTACACAAATATGTCAGTTCAGTGAATATTTGAACATTTTTCTAAAAATTTTTGTCTACTGCTTGTTGCAACAGTTGCGACTTCAGGTGAATTAAATTCTCCTCATTCAAAGTCCTTTAGTTGCAAAAAAAACCCTCTACTGAAACAGGCTTCAGGTACAGAGACATGTGCTGCTACTCGTTCTGCTAGCCGGGGATCTTCTCATAACCTCCTTTTGGTTGATCCATTTCAACATGGCAGTAAAGCTGAGCTCATCCATGATCACAGTTTCCACTTTATATTTAAAACTACGTTACGGTGGCAGAAACAAGTCCTGGGATGTGCCTAACTGTGTAAAAAAAAAAAAAGTGCACGGACCGGAAAAGCACACTAAGAACTTGATGTGGCGCTAACAGATGTTGATTTGAAAAAAAAACAAAAAAAAAACAGTTGATGGTCATAATAATTTGCTCATTTTAACTAGACTTCAATTCTCAAAAATGTATATCCATCCCTAATCTATAATGAGCAAGATATTAATTGTTTATGCCCTTTTCACATAACGTCACTTAAAAATATCCCAATTATCCCTTTAAATCAAATTGGTGTCAAAGTCAGTTAAGGGGGCCAAAATTAAAATCTTGGTCCAAGCTAAGGGCCAGTTTTAGTTGACAAGTTAACTCAAGTCAGATACCCGACATCTCTTCTTGGTTGTAGGTTCATCCACAAAAGTTCGATCATTTAACGTTCTCTGTTGCTCCTTCCACATTCAAATTAAAATTCTGGCTTTAAAAGTTAGCCAACTGTCATGAAAAGTCTGCACCGAATTAAAGTTTTATCAGTTATTAAAGCAAAATGACAAGCGGTAAAAATAATTTACATTCAAAACATCATCTTGGGGAGGCCAGATCAGATATTCACAAGGGCCAGAATTGGCCCACGGGCCTTGAGTGTGATAAGTGATCTAAGATCTCAAACCTTAAAGCTAACCTTGAGAATCATTGTTGATAATAGTGTAGCATGTTCCATAGTTGGACTCTTCCAGCGGCATTTCTATATTCATGTTCCTACAGCAGTTCTGTAGTTGGATGTTCACGAAAAGAGAGAGGGGAAGTGTTTTTTGGGGGGAGAACTCCCGGGAGGAGTTGTCTGTTCGGCGTGGCTGTGGCCTACAAGAGCTATTAAAATAAAAACGTTCCTACTTTAACGAGTCATCTGTGGTATAAATTACAACGCGTGGGTAGAGAAGGCATTACAGTGGTGTCAGAAGTGGGATTATGACATGCACACCAAGGGTCGGCACTTTGGTGCTGGGGAGTTGGTGTGGTTCTACTCGCCCACGCAAAAGAGAGGCAGGTGCCCCAAGTGGGACAGTCACTGGGTTGGACCATGTGCAGTCCTGGAGCGATTGGGGGGGGGGGGGGGGGGGGGGGGGGGGAGAGAGAGTTGTTTATCGGGTTTAGTTGCCTCCACGGGGACGCAGGGTAGCTCTGCACCGAGACAGACTCGCACCTTACAGGAGTATCGCTGCTCCTCAGGACATTGGTCGGGACGAGGGAGTACCAGCCGCACTTTCTCCTGCAGAGGGGAGTGCTACTAACAGTCCAGCAGATACTGGGGGAGGGCAGGAGGGATCTCCACAATCAGAGGCAGGGCAGCTGGTGGGGGTAATGACTCCATGGCGCATCAGACAGCAGCGGCGATTCCCACAGAGGTTCAGAGACTTTGTCCTGGGGTCGAGGACTCTACTATGGGGGATAGTGTAGCATGTTCCGTAGTTGGACTGTTCCAATGGCATTTCTATATTCATGTTCCTACAGCAGTTCTGTAGTTGGATGTTCACGAAAAGAGGGAGGGGAAGTGGGTTGTTTTTTTTTTTTGGGGGGGGGGGGGGGGGGGACTCCTTGGCATGGCTGTGGCCTACAACAGCTATTAAAATAAAAATGTTCCCACTTTAACGAGAGTTATCTGGTATAAATTACAATGCGTGGGTGAAGAAGGCGTTACAATATTTTTTAATAAGTATAACAATTATTAGTACGCCACAAACTAACGATGGAGGACAAAAGGCACAAAGGTAGAACAAAAATAAGCCATAATTTATCTGTAATTAAACTGACAGGTGCTCTGCAGTGGTTCCAAACTCTGGTCCTTGAGGAACGCCATCCTGCATGTTTTAGTCGATTCCCTGCTTTGACACACGATTTGAATAAACGGGTGACTAACAGGCATCTGAAGAACTTGCGAAAGTAATCAAACCACTGAATCAGGTGGGTCGGAGCAGGGAAACAAGTATGCAGGATGGTGTTCCTCAAGGACCAGAGTTGGGAACCACTGCGTCTAGGAGCAACTGTTGAGCTAACTTTTAGCCGGTTTTATGGCGACAATAAACTCAGATTAATGAGTAACCTTTAACATTAGCTGCCTACAAGGCTTCCAGCTCTAACATGTCAGTTTTATGTCTGGTGGAGGAACACCGGAGCACGTTGACCCGCTCGCACCCTACGAGTGACCCGGCCAGCAGGCGAGCCTTACGGGCAGGAAACTCCCCGGTCTGACCGTGGCCTCTGGAGACCCCGCTCCTCCTCCCCCTTTTTGGTTCCAGTCCCACTCAATAACTGCCTGTTAACTCAACTTATCACACGACAAAAGTGACTAAACAATGTTAAATGTGACTTAAGTGTGTATTAATCAAATAAGGATTTTTTTTCCCACTGTTTGAATCCGCGTCAACTCCCAGGTTTTCTGTAAAACTGCCAAACGGCGGAGCACCACCCGGTGTTGTGTCGAAATTTGTTTCCCCACCTGTCGAAGTCTGTTTAATTTCCGGCCATCGGTGCGAGTTTTTCCCTGAATAAATGTACAAATGTCGACATGGAAAATTTAAAAAAAATCCCAGGATATGTACATGATGAAGTAACAGATCAGCTGTGTAGGTTTCACACGTGTCATTTTATTTTCCTCATTAACTCAGGGGCAAATTATGCAATTTATTCACCAATATGCTTAAAAAACAATTTGATTAATAATAAAAAAAAAATACTAACAAAACATGTTTAAAGTATAAACGCTAAAAACAACAGATATGTAGAAGGAAATCGGAGCAAAGCTAACGGGTAACACATTACGACGCAACACCGGGTGATCCACTCGAGCACGAGTTCGACTTTTCCTCTCGTCTCTGCGGCGTCTGGAACTTTCTGGTTGACGGGAGAGCTTTTTTAAATAAAACGTACCCGAACCGAGACATCCAGAAACTCGACACTGACTGTGTCGGAACCGTAACCAGCCCGGAACACCGGGCCCGGTGTCGAACAGTGAAAGCCTTTCCATACAGGTAGACGGCAAGGGCGTGTGCCCGATTCCGTCAAAAACGCACCGAGATAAACACAACACCCTGTAATTTATGGTAAAAACAGCCTGAGAGGCTTCATTTCTGTAGCGTTAAAAAAAAAAGACATTTAAGGCTGAGCTTCCAAGTGAGTCCGCGACCTATGCGGTTCATGACGTTTATCGCCGGCAGCTTAACTCACCTTTCATCGGTGGCGGAATCATTCTCCGTGGTTGATGATGTATCCAGAGGTTGTAAAGTAGTTTTCCTGGCAGCACACGGAAGGGTACAGTAGGAAGCAGCCCGTGGTAACCGGAGGAATCACCCCGGCAGTCAGGAGTCTCTCTCACAAGGGGCAGTGCTTCTGTGAATGAGGGTGCAGTGCGCATGCGCGCCGCTAGGGGGCGGAGTCGCCGGGTAAGCCCCAAAACTGTACACAAGGGCTATAATGAGTTCATAAAAAATAAAATATATATTTTGTTCTGGGTTTTGGGTTCTGTTTATTGGCATTTAAGATTCAATACAATAAATTAAATTTAAAAGTAGGCAGGCACGATATTATCGGCATGGTATCGGTATCGGCCGATATTAGCGTTCAAGTTCAATATCGGACATTCCGTTAAAAATAACTCGCCGATGTAAAAAGGCGCCGTTCTTTGCCTGCAGCGCAACGCGATGACGTCACGTGCGCCTACCTGATCTCACGGCGGAGAGGAAAATTCAAAATCAAAACGTCGGCGGCGTGGAAGTGTTACTTTTCGTTGGTGAGGATGTCGGATTCCGAAGGTTTATGGACTACGTTGAGTAGTACATGCTCCCCAGTCAGATGCTTTTCCGACGTAACCTTATTCGAGTTACGAGCCGTCATTTCCGACGTCACTGAGAAGCTAATAGCCGATAGCACGTCTTGTTGGGTGAGTTTTACCACAGACGTCGTGTTAGCCCCGTTAGCATGATCAGTCTTACGGCACAACGGATAGACAAACACTTTGAACTTAAAAAGGCGCAGGAGTGCAGAGGATCGCAGGTGGCTAATGTTAATAAATAACATTTAACACTTTTCATTTAATATAAGTTAGTGCTATGCATATCATATGGCTCTTACTGAATATATGTCACCAGCTGTTACAGCTGTTACACAATTTTTGTTGCAAATAAGTCAAAATAAGAGAGAGGGCTATGTTCTGACAAAGGCAAGTAAATAAAATATCGATATCGGATATCGGCCAAAAATCCAATATCGTGCATCCCTATTTAAAAGGTAACAAGATCATTGTAATGCGTGGTGTTGAGTGTTTTAGATAACGCTCATACTTTTATTTTGTTAAGGCGTGTGCGTCCGGTTGCCGTCGCGTGTTAACTTCTATGTGCACTTTGGATGTAACGGCTGAATGTAACTGTCGTTGGCGTCTGTCGATGGAAGAGTGAAGGACGGCGCAGACCCGTCGTCAGTTCAACAATAAACTGCGGCTGCACGACTGTACACCGCGCACGTCATCGCTGAATAAAACCTTAACATCTGTTGGCAGCAATCATAACTGTCTGTTAGCAAAAAATCACACGAGCCACTGGACAGAGTTAATTAGTCATATATGTACGCCCAATAATTCAATTCAGAATGTACTTTTTTTTAAATCAGTCCAATAGTTCGCAAGATATTTTGCTAACATAGGCTGAAACATTATTGCCCTTTCGCCTTCTGCGGCGGGTGATATAAATGATTGATCTTGTGACCACAGCTAAAGGTTGTCTTTTCTTTCTCCGTCATGTAGGTGTTTCTGTCACAGCCTGTGAGGCTGAACAAAGGTAAACAGTTGACGTTCGCTCCAGAGCAGCCGAACAAAGAGCGGAGCGATAAAGATCCAGTTTGGACACAGTCGGTGAGTCAGTGAGGCCTTGAGGCAGCTTTTCAGCAGAGAAAAGAAACCAACGCTCGTCCTCCAGACAAATGCTGCTGTTCTGGTCATGACAACACAGCAGAACGTTCGGCTGCGCGTGTGTGTTCGTCTTGTTCAGGGTTAGAAACAAGACTAAACTAGAGGAATTGCATTTCCTGCGAAAATGCAGTCTTAATGTTTATTTGCAAAATAACTTCTGGAAAAAAAGCTGAAATTAGCTAAAAAAAAAAACTTGCTGAAATGTAGCTGAAATAGATGAACAAGCCTAAGTTAGCAGAAGAAAGCAGAAAGAACACATATTTGCTGAATTTGGTTTAAATACGCAGAAATTAGCACAAAAATTAAGAATTTAGCTATAAAAAAAGCTGAAATGAGCCAAAATAGCTGAAAAGTAGCTGAAAAAGCAGAAAGAAGCTTAAACTACCAAAAGAAGGCAGAAGGAGCTGAAATGAGCTTAAAAAAAGTGGAATAAGCTGAAAAAGCTAAAATTATAATAAAAGCAGCTAAATAGTCGCTGAAATAGCTGACACTAGCAGAAAAAAGTGGAAAGGAGCATAATAAGCTGAAATGAGCAAAAACAAGTTAATTAGGCTGAAAGTAGCAGAAATTACCATGAAAAACTTGAATTTATCTGAAAACATAAGCTAGAAATGCTAAAAAGGTAGCTGAAAAAGGCAGAACAAGATTAAATTAGCAGAAGAAAGCAGAAAGAACACGTTTCTCAATTAAAAAGCAGAAATTAGCATGAAAAAGTGGAAATTATCTGGAAAAAAAAAACCCCAGAAACGAGCAAAAACCAACTGAAAAGTAGCTAAAATGTCAGAAAGAAGCTTACGTTACCAGAAGGAAGTGGAGAGAGCACAATTTTGCTGAATTAGACTGAAAGAAGCAGAAATTAGAAAAAATTGGAAATTGTCTGAAAAAAGCTTAATTTAGAAAAAAAGCTGCTGAAAAGTAGCTTTAAAATGTAAAAGCGCTTAAGTTGCCTGAACAAAGTGGATAGAGCACATTTTTGCTGAATTTGGCTGGAAAAAGTTGACATGAGTGCAAAAAACGTGGAATAAACTAAAAATGCTAAAATCAGCATAAAAACAGCTAAATAGTAACTGAAACAGCAGGAAAAAGCTGAAACTTGCAGAGACACGCTGAAAGCAGCATGACAAGCTGAAATTAGCCAAAAGAAGTTAGAAGAAGCACATAAATGTTGTAGTTAGCAGAAAGAATCTGAAAGGAGCAGAAAACAGCTGAAAGTAGCTAAAATATGTTTAAATTTGCAGAAGGAAGCTGAAAGAAGCTGAAGCAGAACAAAATGTGAGAGAATCAGTAAAAGGTTGTAAACCGATGTAAAGATTTGAAGGATGTAAAATGAGCTCAATTCATTTTCTATGAGGAAAAAAAAATGGCAGAAAAGGCTAAAATATTTCAAAAAGCTAAAGTTGCACCAATACCAAAAGTCATATCAGGATTGTCCTGAAAGAGCTGAACGTTTTGATGCATGGTTTGTTGAAATAGAACAAAACTTGTGGTACGAGAAAGATGCTGAAAAACGTCCGGAAGAAAATTGGATCTCAGTAGTGTGGACGCTTCATCAACGTTCACACCGCTACATCAGTGTCACGTCTAAAACAACAACGCCTTTTTTAAATTTCATATTTCATCCTCACATTTTATCTCAGAAACAAAGACGGTCTCGGAGCACACAGACGCAATAAACGCCTCCAGCGATGATGCGCTCGGATATAAATCAATATTTCCTCCATCCCTAAACCACACGTGTTCCAATAAACACACTCGGCTGTAGCTCATCCCCTCCAGAACAACAGCGGAGGTCCTGACTGGAACATGACCTCTGACCTTTCCCCTTTTATCCCAGTGGGGAAAAAACAAACAAGCACCAGTTCAACGTAAGAGAGCTGCGTTTAATGTGGTTTCATTCTCTGCGAGTCACACGTCAGAGCCCAGCGCCAAAACGAATGGATTTTCATTAGTTGCTTAGACAAACAGAAAATATTTGCCTCAGCTGCTGTTTGACTGAATGGGACAGGATTAAAGGTGACCGGAGCGCCACCATGTGTCAAAAAGTCAACATTACATCTCAGACTGCCAATGCTCTGACACTCTTCTACACTTTATTTATTGATATCACTGTCTTAGGTTATTTATAATTAATAACTTTTATTTTTTTAATCAATAAAAGGCCTCACATCCAAAACGAACAGGTTCAAAGCATGATCATTTTATGTGAAGAAGGAGCAGCAGAGTCGTTTTAGTCCAACCTTGGTAAGCTCACTCTCAGCTACTATCAAAAAAAATTGTAGCTCAATAGCTGTAAAATTGGCTGAGTTATAGCCATTTTTGTGTTTCACACACTCAGTTGGCTGATGCAGCCATCTTTGATTAGGGCAACTCCTAAAGGGAGTCACTTGTGCTTGAACATCTAGAGATTATTTACTGGAAGTTTCATTGACATCCATCCAGTGGTTCATGAGTTATTTTGCTAACAGACAAATAGGGTTTTGCTCCATTAGTAAATGATAGTTTTAAGCAAAGGTGTCGCTCAGCATGTTGAGTTAAAAACAAACCATGGGGATCACTCTCAGCTACTACCACGCCAAATTGTAGTTCAATATCTGTAAACTTGGCTGAGTTATAGCCATTTTTGTGCTTTCAAAGTTTATTTGGCTGTAGCGGCCATCTTGAATTGAGTTGTCACCGAAAGTTAATCAGTTGTAGACACACATCCACCAATTACTGTCTAAGCGTTTCATTGATATATGTCCAGTAGTTCATGAGATATTTTGCTAACAGACAGATACAGATGACTCCAATAGGTCACGGAAAAGCTTTAAACGCAGCCTTCGAACAACAGTCAGAATATAAGTTATATATGACTCTCAGAGCAAGTGACACGTTTGTGTTTTCCATAATAGCTTTGCTGTGGCGGCCATATTGAATCAGGTTGACTCTAAAAGTTAATCAGTTGTAGTTGTTTGTGCAACGATTACTCCCTGAGAGTTTCATTAAAATGTGTTCAGTAGTTTGTGAGATATTTTGCTAACAGACAGACAAAGAACCTCTTCCTCCATGTTCAGCTCAATTATCTAACAGCGCTCATTGTTTTAATGGGGAGCGTACCGTCACTTTTCACTTCCTTGCAAAGCAGGAAGCGTGTGCAGATGGCCCGCACTGAGAAAGTAAGCCCCTCCCACCTCCTAAGATCAATTCGATTTGGTGTCCGGAAGATGGATGGATCCCTCCCCAGCGACGCGGAGTTTATGAGTTTAGAGGGATTTTTCGGTAAATAGGGGAGAAAAATGAAAGCGTGTAAAAATGAAGACGAAGTGGGAATAGATGGGGTTTATGAGGCCCCCCACGCATACATGCAGAGACGCACTGAGGGGAGGGGTCCACAGCAGAGTTTCACATGACTTTCTCTGCCCGGGGCCTGTGACATTCGGTGGGTTTCAA